TTTTTTTTTATTATTTTTGAAGGGTTTTTATTATTTTAGCCTCACAAACCATACTAAGTCTACTTCTAGCTTTTGAAAGACTATCACCATTCAAAAATCAGACTCATTTATAGTAACTTTTCACACATGGGGAATTTACGGATATTTAGAAGAAATCTGCACACATTCTCTACTTAACATTCAGAAAGTCTTCCAACCAAACTAGCTCAGTTTAACTCTCAAACTCTTACACAACTCAAAAACCTCAACATCCTTTTGTTGTCTTTCTGAACACAAGATGGAAAGTAGAGGATGCGACTGCAGTTGTTTCACACAACGTTAGGTTTAACTAGAAAAAAGGAGTGAGACTGGCTGGACAAACACACATGCACAACCATTCAGACACCACCAACTACCAGCAACCTGGTTCAAAAGCAAATTGGTGGGAACAAAACTGACAAGGATAGAAAAAAAGATTGTCCCTACTAACTAACTGAGAGACTTGAATGAGGATCAGTGTACAGAAGAATCAACTGAAATTCTAAAATGCATGTCCGCACATCACTGGCATCACTCAAAGACAGAACATATTTTTTGAGTTTTCCTATTTTTCACCCACTTCTTGTTGATCTGATTGTTGATTACACATGGATTTAAGTTAGTAAATGAAAACCAGCAGGGGTTATGTGCGGGGGGGGTTGAAGGGGTGTCTCAGATAAATTAGCCTACATTAGCTTTTCCAGCTCTGAGATGACCCTGAATCTTTGCTGGTAGACGTCCAGTCACAAAAGGAGAAGAGGGTTCCCTCTAGACAACCTCTGCAAAACTGGAGTTTTCAAATGTTGCTGCTCCCTAGAGAAGGAAGTGAGGAAAAACCTGTTAGATTGTTACATAAGAGAATATCCACGCTGACACCTGACTGGCATTTCACTGTAAAATGTCTTCACTCTTACAAGCTCTTACCAAAAGGTTGCCTGTTTTGATGGCTCAGCAGGAGCGGCAGGAGTTTCCTAGTGTAACAGACTCCCTGACACAGTATGCATGTGTGTATACCTTACTACTCTGTGCTCCATATACTGAATGTATATATGCTCTCGGTCCAAAAAGAGGAAATGTATATTTTCTTAATTTTTCTTTTCCTTCCTTTCTAACTGTTTTAACTCTGTATGTGTTACTCTTTGACTCACGGCTTGACATTTAAGCCCTTGTTGTTATTGCTGTGTTGTATGTTGGTGACTTCTAATGCTGATGTGTTTGGTTTCCAGCTTTGCCTTTTAGCTGTGATAAAATATTTCCATGATAACACACCACATGGACTTTGAACAACATAATGCATATTGATGAAAGTGTCCGTGTGAATCTGTGGCAGGAAGATTAAGTCATTTGTTGGACGACGCCTGTTCACCACAACCATGAATCATCTAACGCTGTTTACAATCAACATGGAGAAAACAACAGGCAAGTAGCAGATTCATAAAATAACAAACTCTAAACTGACGCAAGAAACAAATACGACTTTTCCTGCCCCACACAAATAGCAGAGGTCAAAGACCATGTTGTGTTCAATATTTAGTTGTTGAGTATTTTCCCTAATGATTTTAACCCTTAACAAATTTGTTGATTTTGATCATCCCTTACATTGAAAAAATATATTGTTGTGAAAAAAAAAGTATTGCAAATGAAATGTTAATTATATATATGTTTTGTTTTTTTCAAGAAATGTACCTGTGCATTGAGATCCAGGGAAAAGGGGGGAGCACAGTGTGGTCTGCCACCAGCACTCATCTTGCTGGTTGCCTGTTCCTCCCTGTCCACTTATATTTAACAGAGGGAACTAAACGGGACAAATGAGAAGTGGTTAAGTGTGTTTCAGTAAACGCCTGACTGAGATATGACAGGTGGAGCAGCTGACAGTAGATTGTGAAACACTCAAAGGTTAGGTGTATATTTTTTTGTTACAATTCTCCAGCACACTGGGCATAAATGAATGTTAATCTCAGGAAATTAGTTCAAAGAAATCCTCACCTCTGGCACATCTCCAACAAAGTCATAAGCAATCCCATACTTGGGGATCTGGCCTGCTGGTGCACATAAGCAGGACTGTTTTTCTCCTGAAGATTCCTCTTTTTGAATCTTGTCGACTGAGACATCTGTCTGTCCACCTGCTGTCGATACAGCTGCTGCCGTTTTGCAGTCTAAGCAAATTTCTTGCTCAGCGATTGGCAGGAGGGTACTGGAGCCCTCCTGTGAATCCAGAGAAGTCTGGGCACTCTTCTCCATGCCAGACTTCTTTAATCTGGGTAAAAATTTACCAGATTCCAGTTCTGACTTCCCGTAATAAGGGCCCTCACATTCTGCATCCTCCTCCAGAGGTTTGAGGTCTGCCTGAGGATCATCAAAGACGTCCACCGGCGCCAGGACGGGAAAACTCATCTCCTCTTTGTCAGTTTCAGCCTCCGAATCGCTCACTCCACCAGGAGACAACTCGGAGGCCGAAATTGGTCGGAAATGGGTCCTGGGGGAAATGCGAATGGCCCTGTACTGCGTCCGGTTGATGCCATATATTCGTGGGTGGAAGGCTTCACTCTCCGAGTCCGAGCACAGAATAGATTTGGGCTTGAATCCTGGACTGAAAGAAGCCATGTCCTCAGGCTCAAAAGAACACTCAACATGGAGGACTTGAGAGAAGGGATTGTTTAGGTTGAAGGATGCGAACGGGTATTCTAAACCTTGCTCCTCACTATGCAAGCCTCCGTACGATCCGAGCAAATCTTCATGGAAGATGAAAGAAAATCCCTTATTCAATCCATCTCCGCCTCCTTTAATGGCCTGGTCACTCTGCCCAAAGGACACAAGAGGCCTCCACAGGGGCCTGTGCCCAGGGGCAAAGCAGCTGCTCCTGTTCATGAACACATCTGTGCCAGTGATGGTGAGCATGTCCGAGCTAGAAGCAGATGCAGCTGCGGCAGCGCACTTGAGCAGGCTATCTTGGGTGTCACTTGGTGGCACGACAGCCCAATTTTTATCACCACTTAGCGTCTTCAGCTCTCCATACACCCCTCCTAGGATAAATGACGTACTCTCCTTGTCAGAGCTCAAGTCCCAGGGCTTGGACGGAGTCATGTAATCCCCTGCACCATCTACCTTTGAAAGTTTGTTTTTGGCTAAGTTCTGTTCTTCTTTCTTGCCTTCCCAAAGGTGATACTCTGACCGCTGCACTGCTTTTTTCTGAGGCCCCTGAATTGGAACACCTTTTGCCTGCACATCCAGACAGCTGCAGCAGTAACTGCCTGACTCATCAGAGAATAGACCCTCACTTGGATTTTCTACTCCTTGCCTTGACATTTTAGATTTGCCATCTCCAATTGCAGTCCAAATGTCCTTTATTATCCCTGAGCTGTAATCATCACTCTGTTGGTTTGTGTTGTCTGAAAACATGCCAGTGCTGTACTGTTTACTCTCATCCTCTTCCAATGCAATTCCACAAACGGACTCCAATTTCGATTTTTTGGTGGTCTGATTGGATGCTGTGCCAATGCTGACCTCCTCACACTTGTGGCGAGTCTCCTCTTGCAAAAAATCCAAGATTTCTTCCTCTAGATAAGCACCGGAGAGAGGAGGGATTATACAATCAATCTCTTTGTTGCCAATTTGAGCAGCATCTTCTGTCGCAGCATTTCCTTGCTCGTTGTCTGAACGAGTCTCCTCTGAATGTGACCACGGACTGCAAGTTCGCGTTGAAAGGTTAGAACAGTGTTCAGTTTCGTCAAAGGCACTATTTTTGGTCCATATTAGCAAACGAGACTGTTTATTAGAATGTGGGTCGAGACAGCTACTAGAATCTGTGTTGTTTTCGTGACCAACGGTGAGTGAGTCGCGGGGAAAAGGAAAAGTGGGACTGTCATACTGCAGCTCGAAAAGAGAGAAGCAGGATGAGTTCAAACCAGATGGTTCACTGGCGGCTTCAGGAACAGGTGGCTCCTCCAGATTTCCAGATAGTTTGCTCGAGGTGAACGAAACACTATCGAGAAGGGGGGAGAGGCGAATGGGAGAGTCTCCAACGAAGCTTTCTCCATCGATATCTTCTGAAGTAGATGGTGAATAACATCCCCACACTTGAGCCATGTTTTCCAGATCCTCCATAAAGAATCCAACAGATCCCGAAGCTTCCTGTGAGTCTGTCCGTATTGCACTTTTCCCTTGCTGCTCAAGGCCATCTAACACTAAACAACAATCTGCCTCAACGTCTCTTTGCTCTATGCTTTTTTGTCGAATCATGCTTAAGATCCGACTCTCTTGTATTGAGTCTGAGGCACTAGTATCCAATATGGATTGATAAATATCAACTTCATAGAAGTGAGTGAATTCAGACAGATGCTTGTCATCTAAATCTCCATCCTCTGGCTGAGGGCAGCTTGAGGTCCCAGTGAGTTCAGCAGTTTCGTCTTCTGCTTCACCAGGCCCTTCCACAAAGTGCCCATCCACAAACGAGCCTGCTGCAAGGTATGCTCTCTGGTAGCTCTCATTGGCAATGCAGATTCCCTGGATTCTCTCGGGCAGCCTCTCCATGTCGGTTGACATGGCAAAGCTGTCCGGAGAGTCTATCTTGCTTCGATATTTTGTTTCCAGCTTGCTCTGTCTGCTGCTGAAAGGTACAAAATACTCTGTGATGGGCTCAGTATACCAAAGTGGCTCCTCCATGTATTCCTTTTTATTTCCGGCCTCAACTCCGAACTCTTTTGCTTCCACCCAGCCTGGATCTTTACGAATCTCCTTTAGCAGCCTCTTCCCCTTTTTGTAAAGCTGTGGTTGTTTGGCAGCACCCCCGGTAGCGCTGCTGCTGCTCCCCCCTGTGTTTCTTTGCTCGTCTTTGTCAATTACCTTCACCTGCAGCTTCACCTGTCCACTGTTGCGTGTTCTCTTGTTCTTTGCAGCCTCTCTGGATTTGTGCCTTATTCTAACTGCCTTGCTTCTAGATGACTTGGTGTCACCCTGGTTCCCACTTGAGCTCGAGCCCGCCTCACTAGAGCCTGACGACGAGGATCTGGGTCTGTGTTTGCCCTCAGATCTGTGTCTGGTCTGTCTCTTAGAGTGGACGGTAGATTTCTCCTCTGCTGCTGCGCCACCATGATATCGGTTTTCCTTCTCCTTCTTGCTTCGTCGCTGCTGGCCTCTTTCACTGGTGACAATACACGCCTCGAGATTTCTCTCCTTTGCAGCTTCGCCTTCACTGTTGCAATCTTTTGGGGAGGAGGTATCCGTGCTTGTCTGTGGGGCTGCAGAGGATGATGAACTTGAGTATGCGCAGGTCTTTGCCTTGTTCCACACCGTCATGATCTCTTGGAGACAAACAGGTTTCTCTGACAAAGGAGGAAAGGCTTCATAATACCTGCAGTCATAACAGACAAGAGAGAACACTTGATTAAAATGTATTCAGAGCAGTAGCTAAATTAAAAAGTAAATATGGGAATGTACATAATGGTACAGGGTGTCCACGACGTAGCTTACATTTCCACCTGGTCCTTTGAAGAGGGGGACTCAGCTCGCTCTGGAGACTGAGAGCCATCAGATTTCTTTTGAATCTGTTTTTCCTCTATAAAAGACATTGAACAATAACACATCATGTTAGAACAGTTATTACTCAACTTTATTTGAAAATCAAAATGTTCTATTTATAATAGTTCTGAGGAATAGAGCAAACCTTTCTGTTTGTTTTGGATGTCCTTAAGTTTAGAGCAAAGCTCTTCAACCAGGCTCTCAATTCCAGAGTTCTACGCAGAAAACAAGACAAAAGACAGATTTAGATTAAAATAGTGTCCAATAGGCAAGAAAATAAAATCTAATAGGACCAAACAAAATATTGTGCCCAGACTTTGAGCTTGAACATTATTTAGAATTGGTCACAGCACTTTAAATTAAACATATTGAGTGATGGTTGTATTCTGAGAAATGGGATCTGCTGATAAACAGAGAATTCGTATAGTACTGTGGGAGCAGTAAGGCGCATCTGAGTTTACAAAATCATGCACAAGCATTTTAAAGAATATCAGCCTTCAAATCAGTGTGCTACCATTTCTGATGTTTAAAAAGACCAAAACCAAACTCTTAAATAATCCCAAAAGAATAGTTTCTTTCATGATGGATGTTGAAAGATCCAAGAGCCTTCGGTAAGAATGCAGAGTTGCAAGCAGATCATTTGACCCCATATGTGTCACGAAAGAAAGAATGAAATGGCACGGGGTTGACACACGTCAAACCAGCTGACTTCTGAGAGCACAGGCATGCTTGGCGATGACTGTGCTATATTTAGCTACGGTGCAGAAATGCTTTCCAAATAAACAAAAAAAGGCTGAGCAGTAGCACAAGTGATTGCGTCACAGTGTTGTGAAACCTTGAGCATTTACTACATATGTTTGGCTTGCCTTCTCAAATCAAGAAACACGATATGTGAAAAACATGAAGGGCAAGGATTGAAAGAAACAAGACGGCCATGTTCAAATGTTAGCTCACTCCAAGTAGCCACTGTCAAAACAAATGGCTAATCGAGCCACAACAAAGCTGCTCAGTTGTATCTGTCCTGCCACACTCATAAGCCAACTCCTTTCCTGTTCATTCTTCCAGAAAATAATATTCCTATTTCCTTACCATGCCACCTCATGAAAGGCAAAGCAAGGTTTTCTCCTGCCCCGTGTTTCCTCTTGCATCATTGTGCTAATGCCGGTCAGCTGACAGCCAACCAAGTCTGCTGCTCATTGCTGCAATCCTGTGCAGCGTGTTCTGGTTAAAAAATAGACTGCAGAGTCCAGTCCCCAGAGACGAGCTCAATACTCCTCTTGCCTTACAAACCCTCCTCCCCCAGCTCTGTGTCACTCTCAGCCAAAGCACACCTCCCTTACTACAGCTGGCCTCAGACTAGAACGTAAGCTAATCGCTCAGTAGATTTTATCAACCAGAATGAATCTTAATACTGTCTACTCTTCAGGAAGCGATCTCAACATACAGATGACACTATTTGAAGGTTGGGGGTTATAAGCGGGAGCATCTGTTTTTAACAACTAACGATGTATAACTGCTGACCTTAAAGGTTCATTGTGAAGGTTGTATTGTTTGGTTTGTCTGTGTGTGTGTAGAAACATGACAGTGCAACATTAAGGACTCAACAGAGGAATTCCTTGTGTTGTAGACGTCCTGATATTGATACACTAGGCTCATTGTAATGTAAAAAACATTAGTTTTAGTTTCAGAGGGTTATAGAAGTATTAGGGCCCCTTAAAGGGGAGAAAATCTGAGCACTATGAGAATAAAGTCATAATATTAAGATAAATGTCATTTCACAGGAAGAATATCGAGGGTCAGCCTGTCATCTGCGGTAAAATAAGGAACCATGTTAAGTTATATTTTAGTTTCGATTTCACAATAAAATACTACTTCTTTTGGCTGATTAGCATGAGTAGGAAACTGAGTCTATTCTGAAGAAACAACAGACTTGGAGAAAAATATTTTCTTAGTGGTGGCTGCAGAACCATCGTTAGTGAGATCTGCATGATATTCAAAAGGTTTTGTAGTTTCTCTAGAAACAATTTGATTGCTTTAAGATTTTGGATCCAGAAGGAGTGGAACGACAACAAGCATTGCTTCTCCTTGCTGAATATTTTTGCCTTTTACTCTAAATAATATGACTACTTCTAATTAAATTAAGACTTTATTCTTCCTATGAATTTCTTAGAAATTACAACTTTATTCTCATAATATTAACTAAAATCTACAATTCTTTTCCTTCAACATGGCCTTAATACTTAATGAAAAATAATTATCAATATTTTATTCAATGACAAATAAATCCCCCTAAATTCTACAAATCTTTGATATAACATTTATAAGGAAGACTAACTGATTGTGCTTTCACACCTGCACTGCAAGTCTACACATCTTCTACGACATTATTGAAGCTAGATGTGAGAATGCAAATGTCTAAATCAGTTGGACTGGACATCAAATGGATTATACTCTGCCAGCCCCCATGCACAAAGTGTGTGTACTGCCTAATTGAGCCTGTGTGTGTATAGAGCAGGTCACTTAAGGTGAGAACACATCAGACACAAACTACCTTGGGGATTGTGCTTCACATGTGAAAGGGTAACTCCTTGATTCTGTTGACATTGTCCAGCGTTCGTATGAGAAAAAGTCTTGAAGGTGTGTCCACCCAGCCAAATGAGGTGACAATGCCTTCACAATTAAGATCTTCTCTTGTTCAATGCTTTAGCCTCCCACACAAACAAAGCTTCATTCACTGACTCAATGTGATTCATGCAATTAATATCTACATGACTGCACCTCAACAAGCAACAAGGAATACGGCAGTAACAGGTTTCTGGCATAATTACACAAACGACAACCACAGTCTTCTCAATTTGCATTCCTCCAAATTAAAAAGGGTTTAGCATGATTGTTTTACACACTAGAAAAATGAAGCATCATTTGACCACCACTTGAACATAATGACAATCACAGGATTACTACAAACAGCCAGAACCATGCTTACTTCATCAGATGCGGAGCGGAGGCATTGCACAGCGGCTTGTTTCTTCATTTCCTCAAGACTCAGGTCAGTCCCTCCCTTCTTCTTGCTCTTACCCCATTTCTTCCCAGTTCCCTTCTCCCAGCCCAAGAAGATGTCGTTTTCCTGTCAGGCACAAACCAAGTCAGTCACAAAGGACAAACTAGTGATAAAAAGTAACATGGAAAAAGGCAAAGCATAATAAAATCACACATATACCGGTATATACTATGTATATAGATAAATAGATACATATCATACATTTCTATGGGCATTTTTAAGCATCATAACAAATAACACATAGATCAGGCAAATAAGATCATAGGAGTAGTCAGAGGTACATGAGTCATGAGATGAAAGAAAAGCCTCATTGTTAACCTCTCCTGTAAATTGATCTTCTTCTAACAAGGCAATAATATCCTCCACAACTTCCCCTCATGAATAAAACTCACTTCTCGTGCATTTGACAGTCCACTATACAAACAGTGACTGATTACACTTAAGATATCTCTTTAAGGTTGAGGGAGCCCACCTGGTCCTGCAGGTCGTAGTCGTAACTGTCGTGCAGGAGAAGGCTGAGGACATAGCGGGTGTAAATCATGGCATCAATCCCGCACTTCTCAAGCTCCTGGCCAAGCCAGCTTTGCACAGGACCCAGTGACTGGAGAAGGGACATCTCTGAGGCAGGCAGGGGGCCCACGACGGGGTAGGGGCAGGAGAAGTTTTCAGGAGGAGCAGGACCGTCTGAATCGGTGCTCACTGGACGCATGGGACCTCAGGTGTTGGCCATTCTCAAGTGGAGCAGCATTGTGATGGGTAATTATGGGTGGTCGGTGGAAAAGGGTACGGAGAGAGGATGAGGCAGAACCTATCTGGAAGAGGGGGCAGTCACTCCAGCAGGATGCACTGAAGGAACTCTACATGAGGAGACATGTAGTAGGTTTTTTTTTTCCTTTTTTTTTTTTTTTTTTTTTTTTTTGAGGAAAAGGTTATTTTACTCGTCAGGCATGGCTTATGCTGCTGATAGTTCTCAGCTGCTGAGAGAACACAAGATGTGTTTGCGTCTCAGACAGAGGGGTCCATTTTTTGGGCTACGTCTCACTTCACCGGCAACAACCTGAAACAGAGCAAACATGCAATTACAAAAAAAAATAAGCGTAAATGAGATAATTTACTGACACTCTACCAGTGGTTTGAGTTTAAATCATGGTGACTTTTCCTGAAAACCCTGCACACTCAAAAGAAAGGGACATCTCACATTCAAACCTCTGAGTTATTCACATCTATGTGTGTAATGTTTATTAAATGCAATCTAAAGTCCTGCTGGTCAAAAAACCCAATGCCAACCGCTAACATCTGGCTTTTGTCTGCAGCCGGAATGGATACAATCGGCATTCAGTCCTGGGTCAAATGACTCTGCGGCAGGCACAGGTTTTAATCTGCTCTGACTCTGATCGGTAGTGATGGAAACATAACAGCCGGGTGAGTGCACAAATTTGGCAAGAGATTGAGGTGAGGGAGCACCTCAATTGTTGGTGCGTTCGCAATGTCAAATCAGATGCACTGCTGGGAAAAAAAAGACAGAAAGGCAAACTCCTCTACAGGCAAAGGGAAAGGAGTCAATCATCTTTTTAGCGACTTGACCCACATTTTTTTTAAAGTGACCGGAGAAGCATCATGACCACATTTGTTTTGAAATGTCTCAATGGACGTAAGGCTTTGTGCTACTTTTGAGAAAGGGAGACACACATTATTAATAATAATAATAATCCATATTACTACTTGATTTATTTATTGCGAAAGTCACATCAGCTGTGAGTAATAAATCCACCTAAAATTACGGACATGCAGTTTAAAATTTGAAACTTTTGATAAAAAGGTTGAATTTTAAAGACGGTCCTTGTGGATTTGGTTTAAAAGACCGTAAAACTAAGGAGCATTTATTTTTCATTTGTTCAGTCCAGGGTTATTAAAGTTAACTTAACCTAAGACTAAAACTAGCAATGAAAAAATAATTTAGTTAACTGAAATAAAAATAAAAACGACAATTACAAAAAAAACGAAAACTAAATAAAAACTATAATGAACAATGCAAAACTAACTAAAACTAAACTGAATTTCAGATAAATTCAGCTTCATTTCCTCCCTCAATTACTGGCTGTCCTGCAGGTGATAGTTAGAAAATGAAATTAAAGGACTTGATAAACCATATTTGATGTCACACATTGTTTCATCCTTTTTCAGCTTCTACAAGTCGAAACTTTCTTTTAAAACCTGGGAAAACTAAAACTAAGACCATAACTTAGTAAAAACTAAACTGAAACTAGTCGATTCATCAAAATAAAAACTAAACTGAAACTACAAAATCCCTCGTTGAACTAACTAAAACTAAACTGAATTAAAAAAGCAAACTGAAAAACTAAATAAAAATTAATGAAAATTTCAAAACTATAATAACCTTGGTTCAGTCACCTTCGTTTTGGAAAGATATCTACAGCTGGTTGTACATTGGAACTGACAGTCCTTCATTTCCTTCACTTGAGACCTTATGTTGTGATTTGGTGCTATACATGTGTTTCAAGTTTTGATTTTCAGTGCATATTATGTCTCAAGTAAAATATCACATGAGGTCAACATATAAATGGGTCAGATCAGTCACAAAAGTAATTTGAAAAGCTGTAAACACTCCCTACCTCGTTTTAAAAATCTATAAGTGACTTATCACCAATTGAGTTTCTCCCCCTAACTAATAAGTCTTAACAAATTGTATTAAGTCATGTCCAAGTCTCTTGTCACAGTTATTTAAAGAGAGGACAGGATAAAACTTAATCAATCCGAATAGAAATTCTTGCGCCAGCTTACTCTAAGATTACAGTACCCACAATATAGAATAGAAAAGAAAACAGTGACAAAAAACAAGAATTAGGTCGAAAATATAAGTGAAATCATGTATATTAAATGAAAAACAAGAATGCATGTGTACACCGAGTAATGCGGAACTTTTGCCTAAAATAAACATAAAAAGAAGCAAGTAACACAAGAAACTAAAAACAAAAGTGGCATTGAGTAGAAATTATAAAGGCATAAGCAATATGGGATATCGAACAGGGTATTGAAATACTGCACTACAAGGAAAAAACTCTTGTACAGATACTGCATGTGAATTGCATTATTGCACACGAGTGGAAATGTTGCACATGAAGAAATACAAACTGAATATTACACTCCTATATTACATTTTCAAATGTTTATTGATGTGATTCTTGTGTCCTGTATTAATATACATGTGTGTGTGTGTGTGTGTGTTTATTGAATATTCCCTGGCCCCTACAGTGTTGTTGCATACAAGCTGATGTCTCCCCTCTCATAGTGCGTAATAAAACTCAGATGTCCCGGATTATTTAGTTTCCATGACAAAGCAAAGCGTGACATGCGGGCGCGTGTATGTGAGTGGACCGGCGTGGGAAACGCTGTCTGTCATGTGCGTGTGTTTCGCATGGCAGCGGTGGGACGAGGGAGGCGACGCGAAGAGCAAATGGAGGCTGTGCTCGCCCGATTGGCTGGATCGCTCGCCAGTCTCCGGTGGCACAGTATGGAGCGGCCCGCTCGAGACGTCAAAAGGGCAAAGATAAGAAGCTTTGCCGCATGCAGCCACGCGATCCCGGCAGTCAACGCCATTTTACCGAATCACAACGTGCCGGTTTAATACATTCACACTCGTGTTAACAGCTGATATGCCTGCTAGCTCCATCGATGATCGCTAAACATGGCTGACCGGTGACAACTACAGCCCAGCTGTTTCTGTATGGATCTTAAGCCCCTGGCTGCACCGTCCACATTCCACCTTTACCCCACAATGCAGTGTTCACATCTCTTCAACGATATAGCACATTTAGTGCGGAGTTAACCAACGACTGCGCTACTTTGCTACTAGTGTGTATCTCTGTGCAGATCCTGACAGTCCGCTTGTCTCAACGCTACATCGCAGGGCTACACGCGATATTTGAGATTAATGGCTGATGTCACTGTTGTGTTCAATTACTACAGAATCGGTGCAAAGGGGTGAAGTGTCAAGCAAACGCTGCGCTGACTTTTCGGTGTCAACTTCGGGTTAGCAAGCGTCACATAGCAGTCAAACGGCAAGGTTAGCTTCACCACCGACCTTTAGCTAGTATTAGCTAAGTTAGCCAAGTTAGCTGCCGGGAACTCCTCGTCCTTTTTTCCCCCAAATGGCAGTTTCAGAATCGAAGTGATCCCTTGACATGCATCTCACACACGCGAGGTTCTTATTCTGGGGTTAAGTGGTTCAATCGAGCTGTCCCCTCGAAACCAATGAGGCTAACGCTAGTTTCCGAGTCAGGCAGGTGAGCGGACTTGTACACGGTGACATTAAAGCCCCGACGGTTCTCCGTTAAGGAGTTAGCCAAGGAGCAAACCCGCTACCGTTAGGCCAAGTGTGTCGTTCCAACCGACGATCGGCTGAGAAAGCGGATTCCGTGTCAGGCTAACGTTCGCTATCGCCGTCCTCTTGTTGTTGTGACCGAAGGGGAGGAGGAGCGGCTGCCCCGGTGGACTACCACAGGACTGTCAGACGCTTTCCCTTCAAAAATGTGCGCCATATCGTCACACGGCGAAACGGCGAACTCACTAGACACGGGGACAAGACGCCACAGCGACAAACAAGATGGGATCACCGGGCTCAGACGTTCACGTACCTGCCGCGGGCTGAAGTAGAGAGGCGCGGGGGGAAAGGGGAGCGGCTATTTCTCTCCCGCTGCCGTTCCGAGCTCAGGCTCTGGAATCCGCTGCGGTAGCATCGCGTATCATGGACGCCGACAGAAATGGCGCTGTCTTCACATCCAAGCGCTTCTTCAACAACGTCAGGAAAACCGGCGACATTCGGGCTCCGACCGCAGTGGGGTCGTCCCTCGATGACACATGCCACCTCGAGCCGCAATGTCCGCCACCGGAGGCCAGTTTCACTCCGTGCAAGGGCCACTGAATGCGCCGCCCTCCGCGTTCGTATCCAGGCAACAAGGCGAACCTCCGCCGTCCTGCTCGCGTAGGATTGATTCCTCCGCCAGAGGATTGCATCAGAAGCCCAAATAGTGCCCCCAGCTTGATGTGACATGTTAAAGTCACGATAAAGTCATCACACGGAGTTTAATCAATGAGGGTGTGAGGACATTATAAAAAGAAAGACTAACACAACATATGTGTATGCATAATATGATGTAATGCATTGAGCGGGTTAAACTCATCACGGGGAATCTAATTAATTAGGGTTTGAGGTTATTGTAAAAAGAAAAAGCTAACTAACTAAACCAAATATGTATGTAGGCATAGTATAATATAATGCATGCTGAATACAACAATACAACTTTCTGAACTAAGTGATATTGCATTTTTTACATTGTTGCATCTTTCATAATGCCCAATGAACACTTAATATAAATATATTTATATATACGACAATGGCATATTCATGAGCATACATTTAGTTTAAATCCTGGTTGGGTAAAACAGTAAAAGTATCTTGCAGCTGCTGAAAATAATGTGGAGCTCTGCTGATGAAGGCTGAAGTAAAAGGAAGAGAGATRGCAATTATTAAAAGAATAACTAGCACATTTGTCCAATACAAAATTCAACAACAAATTCTATTTTAATCAAWGATGATACACTGCACCRCAGCCTTACTTGACTTTTCACCGCAATAGTGAAACAARAAGCGAACACAKGAAGAGTTTTGTAATCGAACCCTTACATGGAGGCCAGACGGATGYAAACTAGCTGTAAACAAGCAATTAAAAAAGATCCATTTTAACGAGTGAGGTAGTCCAGCACTGAACATTGAACTTTCGTGTTATTGTTAAGAAAGGGACAAAGGCTGGCTGTGTGGCTGAGTGGCAGAGCAGTCGTCCTCCAACCAGAAGGTCGGAGGCTCGATTCCCAGCCCTTCCATCTGCATGCTAAAGTGTCCTCAGGCAAGATGCTGAACCCCAAATTGCCCCATAGAACAACAATAAAAAAAATGCTACTCTACATGCACTGTATGTATGAATGTATGGGTTAATGGCAAACTGTACTGGAAAGCACCTTGAGTGGTCTCCAAGACTAGAAAAGCACTATATAAATACTTTTTCTTTTGCATTAGTTTGGGCATTTGTGTGTTTTTCAATTTGCAGYTTTTGAAGTATTTGCTTTGACCGCCTGTAATTACATCTCTGTTAATCACATTCACATTATTGCCCCAGCTTTGTTTTCTCGTACGTAAAATGGCTTATTTGCAGAAGATTCATGAAATATATCGTTTTTCCTCACACACTCAACCATGACTTGTGAAAGCCAGGAGCTTCAGTGAAAGATGAGTGGAAAGAAAGGAGGATGAAGGAGAATGAGATCAGGGGTGGGTGTGGCTCCTGAAAAAGTCAAACTTCTTTACAGTGAAGATAAAGTATATCTTGACTAAAATTACTGCCTCAGGGTTGTACACCTCCATCAACCTGTCAAGTTGCAGGAAATATGGTCACAACACACACTGTATTGACCTTTAACCTCTGACCACMMAAYCCTTTACAGTTTATCTTTGCATCCAAGACGTTTGTATGAAGGTTGAAGGAATTTCCTCAAGGTCTTCCTGAGATATAATGTTCACAAGAGATGGACAAACCCAGAACATAATGCATGCAGCCTCAACTGTAGCCAGGGCTCAGACATGGATACTGTAACAATACAGCCTAAAACATACAGAGGCATATTCATGAGCATACATTTAGTTTAAATCCTGGTTGGGTAAAACAGTAAAAGTATCTTGCAGCTGCTGAAAATAATGTGGAGCTCTGCTGATGAAGGCTGAAGTAAAAGGAAGAGAGATRGCAATTATTAAAAGAATAACTAGCACATTTGTCCAATACAAAATTCAACAACAAATTCTATTTTAATCAAAGATGATACACTGCACCACAGCCTTACTTGACTTTTCACCGCAATAGTGAAACAARRAGCGAACACATGAAGAGTTTTGTAATCGAACCCTTACATGGAGGCCAGACGGATGTAAACTAGCTGTAAACAAGCAATTAAAAAAGATCAATTTTAACGAGTGAGGTAGTCCAGCACTGAACATTGAACTCTCGTATTGTCGTTGAGAAAGGGACAAAAGGTGGATGGCTGGCTGTGTGGCTGAGTGGTAGAGCCATCGTCCTCCAACCAGAAGGCCAGAGGGTCAAATCCCAGTCCCTCCATCTGCATGCCAAAATGTCCCTGGGCAAGATGCTGAACCCCCAACTGCCCCATAGCACAACAAGAAGTGCCAGCTATAGAAGCTACAGAATGGGTGAATGAAAAACTGTAGTGTAAAGCCCTTGGAGTGGTCATCCAGACTAGAAAAACAATATATAAATAGAACCATTTACCTTCAATTTTTTACCCCAACAATGCCCCCCTACATTCTGTCTTGTTTCCTTTTATACACAACACAAAGATGGAATAAAGCTGCAATATTCCTACCTTCGTCAGGCTGTATAAAATGAGCTACAATTACTTGTATCACAACACATGAGAGGTAATTATCTTTACGTGTGTGAGTGGATATAGGGAGAGAGCAAATGAGGTCAGGATAGGAGGGTACAGAGTCTGTGCACATGGGAGGAAAATCAAAATACGGAGACCATGCAAGTGTGTGTGTTCAGAGTGTGTATGTCCATGTGAGTGAGCCGGAGTATCTCTGTGTAAGTGTTGGCATGTTATATGGACAATATGTGTAACAGACAGGACAGCATGCACAGTCCCTCAGGGCCTGTTAGCAGATTAATGCTGAGTTGTGCTTCTGATCTTTATCTCAAGCCTGGAGAGCACTGCAGCCAAAGGCCCTCTATTGACAGATTGACCCTCTGCAACACAGGGGACCAATCGATCAGGAAACTGTGTTGATACTGTTACAATATATATTTTCCACCAAAATATACTGACATTGAAATAATGAGCTGATTTACTAGAGTTGTTGGATTTGTATTCTTTCTCTGCTGCCTCTCCAACTGTTTCTGCCTTGTTTTCTTCCCCCGTCACTGATAAAGTCTCATCTGAACCTCAGCCTTGGGTGCAGCAACACGCAGCACTCTAACATTCGCCCGAGCAACATCTCAGCCTGCGCCGCTCTCCGCTCCGCCAGCTCTCTCATTTGCCAGTGTTAATTGAAAGTCAATTTGGAGCAGATGGCACAGTTAAAAGATGACCCATAATCCCCTCGCTTGAAGGGGGGTGGGGGTTGTGAGAGGCCTCTGGCTGATTTCACTCCAGAGGTTGTGAAAAAGCAAAGAGGTTTTCCCACAATGCTTTGGTAGCTCTCTCCACCTTGCCAGTGGGTTCGCAGTGTTGTTTGAGGTGAAGCCAGTCAGGATGGGACACTGAGGTAAATCCTCTATTAGTCCCAGCTCACGAGTTAGATAGCATGTGGTGTAGACTTGTGGTGTAACGTGAACACTGACTGCTTCAGGTTGTCTCTGAGTCCTGTGTTAAGAATTTTCATGTCAATCAAATCTGAAGTTCGAGCCAAACAGTGTCTGAATGAATGGGACGGGTCAGAAAAATGAACTGTAAACATAATTTTCCTGCTTTTTGCGTTTCTTTACATTAGAATATTTCATGCTCAAAAAACACACACACACCAAATGGTACAATTGAGAGTTTAGATAGCTCTTAGATCATGTCTTACAAACAACTGACTGTTTATAAAAATGGACAACGCGTCTCTACTTCCTCCCACTAACCAGAAATCAAACCAAAATAACCCGGCAGCTGTGGCATCAAGCATTTTTACTTCCACCAAGGTTATGTTTCCATCTTATGTTTCCACATATGATAATGCACGAAATACTGGATGGACCCAATCAGCAAGTGGTTGTGAGTTTCTTTCCAAACATCTCTGTGTCTGCCCATCTAGACTAGAATGCAGCCCTGAAGTTTTCAAATCAGAACAAGCAATAATAAGCATGCAATATTTCCAAACTTCTCTGTTTTAGCACCTCTAAAACTCTGGGCGTCAGACATTGCTGTGGCAGAGCGGATTCATTTTCAAACACAAACCTAGTTGTGTGGATGTAGCCCTGGTGCATATCTGGATATCAGGGAGTGGAGGCAGGAATGTTCTTTTTCAGTGTCTTTAACATTGCGAGATGTATGAATCCTACAGAAAAAAATCCGACATATTTAGGGGGTTGGTATATATGAGCGTGCACATTTTGATGCACATCCAAATGGAAATGTGGATTTCAAATATTTTTTATTGGAGGGGTAGTCTTTTTCAAGCTGTTGTATGGTCACAAATAGGACTAGAAACCTGCAACAATAATTGGTTTTGACATATGGTTTACAAGTATATGAATATGAAGGATTTTGGCAAGGATACTGATCTGTCAGTTTCCTGGGAAATAACATTGATCTTGGCAAAACAGGCATATTTAGAGGACTGACATCGAAGAGTGTGTGAAATTTTGTGCGGCTTGATAGAATTTAAAGTGACTGTTGGGCCCCAGCAGAGCTAAGTGACATTCTTGTATTTGATGATCATATATTAATAATTATCACCTGGATTTTTACAACAAATGACTGCTTATATTCCAATACTTGCTATAAACAGTTGATCCTATTGATTCGTTCTATGGTAAAGGTTTGCAGGTTCATCACATTTCATCCTGATGATCTTTTTTGACCAAACTCATGAAACTTAGTCATCCCCAGTACCCAGACAGTCACATGACAACATTCATCGACTCATGTCATATGTGCAGCAAACAGCCACCAATTCTCAGCTGCTGTCAAGTTGACACACTTCTCAGGACACTAATCCTTTCACAGAATGTACATGCTTCCCCTAGTGACCAATCACAGCTTGAAGTATTAATCAAAGAAACCAATCAGCATCTTTGGAAAAGACACAAATCCCACCCTGAACAAAGCCATGTGACCTTGGTTCCTCTTTCCTGTCTCCAGGGTTGTTTACAACTGTCTGCTCTCTGTACAACACACTTGCATTTTTATGTGCTCTCACACACTGTAATAGCGATTGTTTCTGCTTGTGTGTTCTCTTGTTTCCTGCGCTCACAGTTGTGCAATGCTTCCTCTGGCGCTCAGCCTGTATACCGTACCTCCTCTGCCATATTTCTTTTTAATGACTGGTGACTGTAGACATGCCATTACTTGCAGAAGTAGTGCAAACTATTACCAAGTAACAAAACATTACAACACAGGGAGGGGAAGGGGAGCAGTTATATGTTGTGTTGACGATGAATATTAATATTGTTCAGTATTGTATTTTGATGCATTCCTTTTAGTTGCTCTAAGACGT